GTTACCTTACATTTACTTTCCTGTCATTATTCATGCCCTTACACATTTTTCCAGAGTAATTTCACCAGTTAGTAAATAAACAAATAAATGAAATGAACCGAGTTAAATTTGGTTTTTGGTATCATGGTTTGAGGGTCTGTGCTGCAGCAGGGTAATCGACTGGGTTATGCTGCAGCGATCAATAAAGTAAAGCAGCAGAATATTTATGGATCAGTGGTACTGACTGCAGCCATCACTGCACACTAGATGCAAATGCAGCTGTGCAGTGTATTTTGCATCATTAGTAGTTTGTGAGAAGAATAATACATTGAAAATGCATTATTTTAGAAATGTATGCAATGTATGCAGAACCACTCCAACATACCCTCACCCAAGTAAATAATAGGAGGCCAGGAGAATGTGGGAAATTTGCTAAACATGCACAGAACACAGTATTGAATATACAAGCGAGTCAATAAGGTCAACCATAAAATGTAGGCCACTCTTAATGCAGTGACAGTATTACAGCACACACAGTGATGGTCTTCGCAGTGGTCAGACATGAAGCGAAACAGCTGGACAATATTTGTCTGTCCTCACCACACCACCAGAGGCTGTATCCTGATGTGCCCCTACTTGAGCACAGAGACATTTGGGGATTTGCTTGTGTGTTTAAGGCACAGCAGGTCCAGTGAATCTCACAGCTGTATTTATCATGTACTACACAATTACACTTCAATAGCAAGGAACAAAAACTGGAGCTTTTAAATCCTGCGATCTCACAGTTAAAAGTCTAGCATACAGGAGGCTCAATTCCGCAATCAATTCAACAGCACAGGTGTGTGTGCTTTTATCGAGTTACCTAAACAACCACTGAAAATGAGGGAATGCAGTGTGCCCACTACACAAAAAAGAGACAATGGACTCATGCTGGGGGACAGTGGACCAAATGCATGTCCAATTTCCCAGTCCACTCATTAAGAGCAAAAGCGTTTTTGGCCGATCTCTTCTCCTGCTATTATGCCCCAGTGCTCCCCAGTACAATGTCAGCCACTTTAGAGGCGGTTGTGGAATTGGGAAGCCCTGCCGTTGCTTAGCTACTGCCTCGGCTCAGTGACACAGAGTGGCCCACGATGAGGAGACGCTTTTAATGCTCTGAGTCGCACTCAATCGCTCAGGCTGTCCTACTTAGAAAAAAAAGCTCTGAATCAAGGTTGAACAGCTTTTCTATGAAAATGTCATCAATATGAGACTGACAACTTTTAATTACTTTTAATTATTAAAGCAACTGATTAGATGCTTTGGTTACTTGGACAATCAACACAATATCTGATCCTCTTTTGTGGGTTTTCGTTTAAACCTTGCAGTCTGGCCCAGGTCTTGACAAGTTCACTTTGCATTATTTATGGCCATGCACATTCTGCCAGTTTTCAGAAAGGGCAAAAACTGACACCTATGTTCTAGGCATTAAACCTGGTGCAGCATATGTTTGTATAACACAGTAAAGGAAAAACCAATGGCTCTGCTATGCTGTTATGAGGTGGGAGGAATTTATTTTGTTGGTATGGTTTGGGTCCACTTGTTCCGTTAGAGGAAAGTGTCACTGCAGACCAATACAAAGTTATTCTGACTGATCACTTTGTCCTGCGATGAAACATTTCTATCCTGTTGGGAGTCCCATGCACAGAGCACGACGGCTGACTGAATGAATATCTCATCCCAACTGAACACTTACAGGAGAATTTGAGCTATGTATTAGAGAGCATTCTCCACTGCCATCACTTGTAGAACCTATGGCTTGCAGTGAGCCAATGACTTACTAACACACATTATGTTGGTTTTTCCTTTAATGTGCCGCTCCTCTGTGCAGAATCAATGGCAAGGCACATTTAAGTCATTACTTTAAGTTGGATTTTCCTTCATTTTAAATGACTAATTATTTATAGCATCTATAATTAAAAAAAACAAAAACATATTTGAACACTTTGAGAGGAGGTCTTTTTCTGTGATGTAGTCTCACCATTGGGATACTTCTGAACCCAACAGCTCTGGCCACTGGGATAAAGTTCATCTTTTATGTAAGATTCATTACATAACCCTGCAGATTCACAGTAGCCTACAAATAATTAATGTGCAGACACTGACAGAGGCTTTTTGCATCTACTTTTAAACTACTCATTCAAATAAGGCTCAGTGCAAAGCATAGTAACAAGCAAGACAAACATGACAAAATAAAACCCAATGATCAAATTTAGCCTCTCTGATGACTTTCCATTGTAACTGTGACAGTTTGTTATTTGTTTGTCATATACAAAGGTTGCTATAGATGTCATTGAAAGCTAGCTAGCAGGACTAGAAAACATCAGGTCTCAAATATTCTTGCTCTGCTCTAAGATTTCCTGTAAAAAAGTAATTACAGTATAGATTGTATGATGTGGGCTTGACAACGTGTTCCTTATTCGTCCACTTGACTCATTACTTGCACTAGAAAATCTTGTAACTTACATTGTGACAGCCTTAAAATATTAAAATGTATTAAGTCTCCCTACTGACTTACAGGAAAAACATTTGTACAGCAGCAAATGATATAACGGTAACATGATTCTAAAATTACAGAGATGCTGAGAAACAGGATCAATTTCCTGATACTCACCTGCCACAGATATGATAAAAGATGCATCCATGGGGTCAATGCCCAAAGTCCTGGCTCTCGCTGAGAGGTGGAAGTAGGGGATAAAGTAGGCTAACTGACTGAAGACAAGCGACCAGGTATATATGCAAAAAAAGGGATTTTTTAAGAGTGAGAAGTCCAAGACTTTGGCTTTTTTGGTTGGTGTCTTCTCCCGTACTAAGGAATTCACAGTCAATTTGCCATTTGTCTCTGGACAAACCTTTACTGGACAATTGTCCAATTCATTGCCACCATTCTGGACCAGGTTTGTTAGCTCCATAGCTTGGCGGCTTCTCTGCTCTAAAGATGTGTTCTCAATGATAAGTGTATCCCTGTGAATGGAAGGAGCTCCTGTTTTGGCAATGCCATTAGACATGGCTGGAGTCACTTTTTGACTGTCCTCAAGAGGTTCCTTCTCCATTTGTGTCAGAGAATCAGGCAGATCTCTGCTGAGACTGGGGGCAGGCTGCATTTGGATGGGCCGCAGCAACATTGCAGAAGCCACTAGGTTCAACATCAGACCACCCAAAATCAACAGAGCTCCTGCACAGACAAACAGATCAGTTCAATAATCAGCATTAATGAAGTTTCTTAGTAGTCTGGTACAGGCTGTTGTCCACTTATTTCTGTCCTTCTGTTTTTTTATGTTTTGATTTTCCAATTTTTTGTCACTCAACAGCTTTTCAATTAAGGACTTCAAAGCATTTTTTTGTATCTACTGTAAAAGAAAAACTTGATGTTCTGAATCATATTTACCCTGCCATGCATACTGATCCAGAAGCAGCTGTGTGAAGGGTGCCAGCGCAAAGGTCAAGCCCATGCCAGATCGGCCAATGGAGTAAGCCGTGGCTAACCTCTTATGGAAATAAGTTGCAGTCACAACAGATGAGGCTTGGTACAGCAGTGCAAAGCCAAGACCTGAAGAATAAGTGTATAAGTGTTAAATTTTTGTAATTCTATACAGTAAAAAAGAACATCTAAGTGAGTTGTTTAATCAATTGACAATAAATTATCATTTAGTATAATAGCATCTAGTTTATGTCTATATGCTCATTTACCAAACTTCAGTTGTCCTGAACTTAATATGCCCAAAGACCTAAGACTCACCTACCACCAGCCCCATGCTGATGTACAAGTAGACAATACTGTTTGCGAAAATGCTGATGAGAAAGCCTGCGGTCACCAGTAGGGCTCCCATGATGGAAGTGATTCTGTTCCCCAGCTTAGCACAGGCTACAGAGGCTAGAGGACCTGATGGTACAGGGACAACACTATTTGGAGGTATGCAAAGACTAGAGTAAAGAAATGAAAGAAAATGCAAGCTATAGATCCAGGTTGCTAGCATCGTATTTATAGTTGGTAAGCCATTTCAGGGGTGCGACTTTACAGTTCCAACATCTACACAAGGAACTGTACCTTGTCATTCTTGCAAGGCTACGCAACCCTCATATTCGTCTGAGTTCCTGGATGCAGTGAGTGCTACAGAAATAGGTGGAACTGTTTGGCCGCATGTAAGGGATGGTTGTTATAGGGACAGCAGGTCTACCTCCTGAGAGTCTGATGCTGGACATGATGGAGCCAATCCAGCTGATGCTCTCGGACGAGCCACCGAACTCGTCCTGCAGCACCACGAAGAAGATCCCAAAAGTCTTCAAGGTCCCCATCACCAGCACGTTCACCTGGTAGAAAGCAAACAACACAAATCAAAATGGCAGAATTACTGTGGTAAGAGATCATTAGAAATCAAATTCCTTGAGATCATCAAATTGTAGACAAATCTGTTGCTGCAAAAAAAAGCAGTCTTGAGGTAGGTACTGCTGTTGAAGACACACCAGAAAGCAGTGCAGAACCACCATCCAGCCCCATCCTCCATCCGGTGGCTCCATGTAATGCAGCTTCTCTTCTTTCTTGGCAGCTTTGGTCTTCTTTTCATACTGCGTGAGTTTGGCTGCTTTGACCTCACTGAAAACACAGTGATGCTCTTTTAACATAAACATCTACTGACAGTCAATCACTGGACATACCACTTTACATTTCATGTCCATTAACCACTCTTTTTTCTGCATGTCTGTGAAAAGCTTTTTGCTTTGTTGAACATAGCTGCCTTGGTGTTACATGGCTTTAAATTTAATCAGTGGCAATAAAAGCCACAGTAAATGTGAAATACGAATTGGAAACCTACTTTCAAGAAGTTATTGGCTAATTTTTTTTTTTTTTTTACTTTAAATAACCTTCATAAATCATTAAAAACTAGTAATACATTTGGCAGATGCCCTTATCAAGAGCAACTTGCATTTATCTCATTTATATAACTGAGCAGTTGAGGGTTAAGGGCTTTGCTCAAGGGCCCAGCAGTGGTAGGATTTGAACTAATGACCTTCCGAGCAGTAGTCCAATGTCTTAACCACTGAGTTACCGCTGCCAGCAATAGAAAATCAGCCACCACAGTTAAATGTGAACCATTAACCAGTCTTCAGCAGATTCTTGAAAATGTTAGTGAGCATGTTATTTGGTATAAATGCAAACAAACTGGCCATATAGCTGACCAAAGAAGGTCAATGTCCCTTCTCTCCACTGTTTACCATTACTACTATGAGGCTGCTGGGTTTGGCGCAGTCCTCATAAATCTTTAATCTTTGTCCTTCTCAGATTGCACTGGGTCACCGTGAATCTTAACCATCTTTGTTTGGTAGTTAAAATCTGAAGTGAGAGAAGAATGATTCTGTGTACTTTCTAGAAACTTTGCTGACATTGGAATTAGACTACTTCTTCTTCTTTCGGCTTTTCCCTTCAGGGGTCGCCACAGCGAATCATCACTCTCCACCTATCCCTATCTTCTGCATCCTCAACACTTGCACCCACTAGCTTCATATCCTCATTTATTATCTCCATATACCTCCTCTTTGGCCTTCCTCTTCTCCTCCTGCCTGGCAGCTGCATGTCCAACATTCTCCTACCAACATACTCACTCTCCCTCCTCTGAACATGTCCAAACCATCTTAATCTGGCCTCCCTAACTTTGTCCCCCAAACGTCCAACATGCGCTGTCCCTCTGTTGTACTTGTTCCTAATCCTGTCCAACCTCGTCACTCCCAAAGAGAACCTCAACATCTTCAGCTCTGCTCCCTCTAGCTCTGCCTCCTGTCTCTTCCTCAATGACACTGTCTCTAAACCATGCAGCAAGGCCGGTCTCACCACTGTCTTATACACCTTCCCCTTGATTCTCGCTGATATTTTTCTATCACACAGAACTCCTGACACCTTTCTCCACCCATTCCAACCTGCCTGCACTCGCTTCTTTACCTCTTTCCCACACTCTCCATTACTCTGGACTGTTGACCCCAAGTACTTAAACTCCTGTACCTTCTTCACCTCTTCACCCTGTAACCTTACTGTTTGACATTTGGAATTAGACTATATTAAGTTATTAAGTTGTACCTGATAATTCTCTGATTTTAGGATATTTTTTAGGATATATTTTTTTACTTAATCCAGCCAAGCTGAGACACCTTTTCCTATTTTTTACTAGAGTGTAAAATAAAATGTTTGCTACTTATTGAAACTTATACAAAAAGTAAAGCACACGTTCATTTTTTCCCTCTAAGGAGGCAGAATTTAATAGGTGCATCTTAGAGTTTAGGGTCTATTCTTTGGAGTTTTAGGGTAATAGTAATTATAAAGACGTTGACCAAATAACCTCTTGTATGATTACTATTTGTGTTGAAGTGCAAAACTCTGTGTTTTTTAACTAACACTGCCTGGAAGCTGCTGAGCCAATACTGCTTAATGTTTCTCTGCTGCTATGCTAATATACACACCACTGAGCAAAAATGGCCATGTTGAGAGGCCTAACCCAAATCTGTCAACAATTGCTTAACGGATTAGGGAAGGATGAATTGTGACAGTGTTGCGTGCAAACGTATTTCTTTACGTGTGCTACTTGATGACTGCCACAGAGTGTGTGCATGTGTGTGTTGTTGACATTGCGTTTAGTTCAGTTCAGTGTCTCGCGACCTTGAATATGACTCACTTGCACCTCGACTCGGATTCACTTTTATTTTTCCAGTTTGGAAAGTTTGAGGTTTCCCAAAATTTCTCGAAAAACAGGTATACTTGAAACAGGTATACTTGATTGATGTTCAACCTCCAATTTCTAGAACTATATCCAAAACATGCTTCATGCAGAGGAGTTTTGTTTATCCCTATAGATAGGGTGAATGCATTACGAGGAATCTAACATTGATACAGCTACTGAAGTGTTCATAATCGCACATTCACTCATTCACCTTCTGACAAGGACAGATTATTCCTTATGTCTTTCTGGCTATACACACCACAAATTGGAACTACTACCATTATACTGTCAGGTCCACAAGTATTTGGACAGTGACAGTAATTTTAGTTGTCAAGATGTGATTGAAGTATAGACTTTCAGCTTTAATTCAAGGGGTTTATCAAAAGCATCGTATTGCATTGCATGACATAGTCTGTCCATTTTCACAGGCTCAAAATTAATTAGATAAACTAATATGAGTATAAATATAAGGACCACTTTTAATACTGGATGCAATCCTTTGCAGTCAATGACTGCCTTAAGTCTGGAACCCATGGACATCACCAGATGCTGTGTTTCCTCCCTTTGCCAGGCCATCACTGTGGACGCCTTCAGTTGCTGCTTGTTTGTGGGTCTTTCTGCCTTCAGTTTTGTCTTCAGTAAGTGAAAAGCATGCTCAATTCGGTTGAGGTCAGGTGTCTGACTCGGCAATTTAAGAACAGTCCAATTCTTTGCCTTAAGAAGCTCTTGGGTTGCTTTCATGGTGTGTTTTGGGTCATTATCCTTCTGGACTGTAAAGCACCATCCTTTCAGTTTTGCAGCATTTGACTGAATCTTAGTGGAAAGTATAGCTCTATACACTTCAGAATTCATCCTGCTACTTGTATCAGCAGTCACATCATCAATAAACACCAGGGACCCAGCTCCACTGGCAGCCATTCATGCCCATGCCATAACACTGCCGCCACCATGATTGACAGATCATGTGGTAGGCTTGAGGAAGGACACAGACAATTTCTTTGGCACAGGGATGATGATCATCATCTTGAAGCACACAGACAACTGCTCGACTCAGGGAAATGTTGAAGATATCTGTTGGGACATTTGCCAGCTGATCAGCACTCACTGAGCACCCAGCCAGGTATACTGTCAGGACCAGCAAGTTTCCATGCTGGACAGAGTTTTCCTGATGTCCATTGCAGAGTACTTGGCTGGTGGAAGCTGGGGTTTGTCTTCCCTGCTGGCATTTTGTTCTGTGCTCAAAGTGTGCATAGAAATCCTTCAGTGCATCTGGAAGTGTGGCATCAGACATGTGATATAGTTCTGTAGTCTGTGATGTCTAATGTAGCCAGTCACTGATGCTGTGTATTCCTCCAAATCTGTGGTGTGGATATATGTAACAGCCTTTCCGAAAATGTCCCAGCCTGTGTGCTCAAAACAGTCCTGAAGTGTTGAGATGGCTCCTTCAGACCAGATTCCTGTTTCCGAACAAGTTAGGCACCTTTCAAGGCTGGTCTGTGTGCTGGCATTACAGAAATGTGGTCTGAGCAGCTGAGTTCGGGCAGGGTGCAGCCTTGTAAACCAGATTTACCATGTTTGTTCAAAGGGTTGCAAAATAAACATGCTGGTGGAATTTTGGCAACACAAATTTAAGGTTCATGTAGTTAAAGTTCCTCAGCAACAATGAAAAATGTGTTGTGGTGCACAGTCTGTAGAGTACTGATAACCCCACTGATTTTATTTAGAGCTTCCCTTGCAGTAGCGCCAGGTGGAATGTACACCATAAAAATGAGTGAGGGGCAGGTAGTATGGCTGGCACTTTACAGTCACAAACTCCACCAGCAATGAACAGTAACTCAAGCATTTTTATTGTAGCGTTCATGCACCACTCGTTGTTGGTGCAAGCACAAAGACCACCATGGTAAGTCTTACCAGACAGTGCTGTTATACTGAAACAGTGCTGCTATCCTGAAAAAAAGCTCAGTTGCTTTTGTCACCTCTTGGTTGGACTACTGCAATTGTCTGGATGTTCCACTAAGTGTATAAACAAGCTCCATGCAGCAGAGTCCTTACTAGAACCAGAAAGTTGGACCATATTATCCCTATTTTATCCACACTACATTCTGCTACCAGTTCTGCTGCCACTAAACAGCCAAAAAAAACACTGGCTCAAACATACCAAAACAGTATAAACGGTATAAAAATTCTTAAAAGGAACAGAAATTCTGAGAAAGGTTCTTCACACTCAACTACTAAGTGAGTAATTTTAAGCAGAGATACCACACAGTGCAAAGTAGTTAATCTGAAACTGATTTAAAAATAAGTTACTGTTCTGAATGCACTTCATGAGAATCATTAATGAAAAACATCTAGTTTAATAGAGATGACCTATAAGATTACAGTATAAGATTAAGATTAAACTCTTATCTAATAAACACCTGATAAAGCCCAATGTTGATATTAGTAACAACCAGATATACCACATTTAAAAAATGTATGGAAAAACGAAACAAGTATGATTCATCAAAGTATGTTTGTACTTGGTTAAAAAAACTGAACTTAAATACTACAGGACCTTTATGTTTGACTACCACACAGTACTTGCAATCGTAAGGGAAAACTGGGCCCTTAATTTACCCTTTTGTGTAAGATTGAGTAAGATCCTTATTGAAACAGGTCCTATTAACAAACTGTAAAAAAGACTCTGATATCTCATAGTGCTCTCTTAGATCAACACATCATGCACAATCAATAATTATACACTCAGTTGACACTTTTTTTTTTTTTTTTTGCTCTTGCTGAAAGACTGATTGACTGTAGTGTGACTGCCCTGTCTTTCAGCCAGCGCAAAAATGACTTATATATGTGAGTACAATAGTATGTGCAACTTTACCTGCTGTGTTCTTTAGGCAGCATCTTTGATGATCTGATGTGGGAGAAATGAAGAAACTTTGCAAAGCCTATTTTCTTAATGTCATCTTCAGGATAGTCTTAGCTGGAAAGCCTTAGTCTTGTATTCCTGTTAGACCTAAAACAACAGAAACGGATCAAAGAAAGAAACAAAGAAAGAAAGAATTTAAGGAGCGTCACTTTGCTCACACAATCTATATGTTTTAGGTGAACTTTCACACTTTGTGTGTTTCAAAAGAAACGCACAGAAAAATCTTTACAGGGGCCATTCCTGTACACACAAGTGATTGTAACAGGTAGCTCTGAGCAAGACTTAATGACTTCTAGGTCTCAGCTCTGTCTGGGTGTTTTGGTGATTTTCACCTGTTTTCATCCCTCGGTGTATAAATACCATTTAAGACCAGGCAAGTAAGTACTGTCTTAGAAGTCAGTGATTAAAACAAATTTTTCCTTCAGTC